CCATTAAGTGAAATCTATTTTTAGTTTTACATCCTTATATACATAAGTCTTTAAAACATTTCTTCAAATCAAATGCTTTTTGATGAAATATTGAAAAACAAAATTTTAATGATATGTGAATAAGATATTGTTCTACTTCTATAAATATAATCTAATTTAATTCATTAACAGATATTTAATAAATGAACTTTGCTACAACTATATGTGTAGTTGAGGGGCAAGTGGTTTGAAGTCAACAACCTTAACCACTCGGCTACGGATGCACATAAAAATAACCGTTAGAAATATACATAACTATTTCTAGAGAAAACAAAATATTGCCTATTCCAATTCCAAAATTAAATAATAACATAAATAAATAAATTTATTAATAAATAAATGAATAAATAAACGCTGTATTATCGCATTGTAAATGGGGATATAGATTTTCCAAAATATATATTTTTGTCATTTTATTTATAATGTCTGATATGGCAAATTAATCACCTTTCCGATTGGATTAAACAAAATGATTTATAACACCAACTGTTTGTAATTTATGGATAGTATGTGCGGTATTTACTGAGACCATGTAAGCTTTATACGATATATAACATTAATTCTAAATGAAGAAAATAACTCATTTTACTGAGAAGAACTTATATATTTGATTTACTGTCAAGATCATTTATATTCCAGGAACAGTTTCAGAAATTATCACATATTTCAACTACTGTATACACCAAAATTACACACGGTAAAAAGATAATATTTCATTTCCATTTTTTAATTCTGATTACTTTTTTATATGGATATCTAAAGTAGTTTATTATGCATATTGTCAAAATTAGATTAATTGTAGAAATAAATCGAAAGAGGTCTTTCTAAGAATGATCAGTAAGTTGGTTGTGATGCTTTTTAAAAAAAAACAAGTTCGGTGATTTTTTGCATTTTGAATTATAAAGAGTGTGTTCGAAACGAATTAATATCGTGGTGTCGTCACATTGAAAATGAGGAGACGAGGCTACACAAGACTCCATTGAAGAGACTGATTGTATAATAACATCAGTGTACTAATTATTATAAAATTACTAAATTATTTATAGACTTAATAAGTTCACAAAATGACCAGAACTTATCAAAATATCTTCAATGGTTCCAAAATGAAATAAATATTTAAACGTATTGTTTTAAACTGACAATGCAGAACAAAATGTAAAATAAACAAATTTATGTTAAATCAAATACAGATCTAAGACAAACAGTTAAATGTGAACACTAAATCAAGATCGACTTTAAGGCAGCAGGTGTCGAGATTTATACTAATTTTCAGGAAAATTTGAAATTGTAATGTAATAAAAAGAAAAACTTTTGTGAAGCGAACAAAGAAAGTAATTGACACTGAACCAATGCATAGATCCCTAACCTGTCTAATTCAATAAATACAATTAGAATGTCACCACAACAAAATAGCTTATGTTTGTGATTTAATCTATTGTTATTCGCAAAAAAAGATCTATCAATCTACGTCAATTACCAAAAAGACATCAAACTATGTGAAAATAGCCCTTACTATTTTAGTAACTAAGTAGAACTTTAGTAACGTAGTAGAAATATAGCGGTTAATACTGCAAAATATGTCTAAAATCGCATATAACATGAAAATTATTATTTTAATTGTGATTTTTTTTAAATACAAAATGTACTTCTTTTAATGTATTTGTATATTTTTCGCAAGTTTGATTTTCTTGACAAACTGTTGGCTGGCGGCATGCAGCTTAAAACAATATCTATTTGTTTCAACTGTATCAATATTTGCAAATTAGGGTTTAAATTCTTTACCAAAGGTCAGGAAAGTCTATCTCACGCACGACATAAAAACAAAATTTAGACACAGTGACTGGGAGAAATTATTGAAAGTGGAAGGCCGAAAGTCATTAATTCGAAAATGATAAGCACCTATGAATTTCTGTATTCTCCTTACCTTAAGCGGAAGCTGCGCTGACACATGTTAGTGAATATAAAAATCTGGCTGCGCAATGTTAGCAATCTTAGCCAGGAAAACATTGGAGTTCTATTATAAGAGTCTTACACCGTTTGTCGGTACAGACCGGAATATCTAGCTCTCGGGTAAGGGTTTACGCTAGTAGCGAAGCTCTGCCGAGTTTTCGAGTTTTCGCTAAACAGTTACCCGAGAGCTAGATTTCCCCGTTTGTTTGTGTTATTTTTCTTGCATATGACTTATCTATAATACTTCAGAACAAAATAAGAATACCAAAATTTTCATTTAGAATATGTTTCTTATGGAAACTTTTGATTTTTCAACTTTATTCATTACGGCTAAATGACGTCATCCTAAGAATGCAATTCATTCAGAAAAGGCGCGTGTGTATGGCGTCATTTAAAGCACATGACCTGTCTTACAAGCGGAGTATAAGACAGAGTTTTCTAGCACCGATATAAACGGTAGATAATCCAATCTGATATGCAAGAATAAGGTACCTTTAACATAGTAATACAGGAAGTGTATCGAGGAAACCGATGTGTACTTGAGACTGACTGTCGACGTCATTATTTTGTAATCTGAACACACCGTATGGTTCAGAGTGGCTTATTTTGATAATTATAAAATTGTACCTCTGAAAATTGTCTTCATTTATTGTATGAACATTATATATTTATACCGAGTATTGTTTCATCCATTTTATCCAAATGAATTGTTGAAATGGGTTCTCGTACGCTTATTCATTTAAGTAATCAATACACAGAAAGAAACAATATATATGTATATTATAAACCAATGTGTATAAAGTTAAGTTGAAGCTTTAATATCAGCTAAAACCATCCTCTACGAGTGGTTAAAATAATTCTGTTTTAAAACGTGATGCACGTATAATTTAATGTGTGTGGTCTGTTTAAATCTCATGAACAACAGTTGCTTTTCCAACTATGACATTACCTATGACTTATTTAGTAAGTGAATTATTATAAAAAAGTGATTTTTTATGACTTTGAACGTTTTTTAATAGAACAGTTGTGTAAACAAATATCAGCATAAAATGGCTTGGATCCTTTTTTGTATTTTCTGCGGTAGAACTCTTTAATAATATATCTGCATCATTTTTACTTGAGAAAATAATCACCCTCAAACAAGCGTCGGTTGATAAAATAAGGGCAAGTACAATTGACAAAACAAAATAAATCGTAAATAGCAAGCAAACAAATGCACCGTGTTTTGTACAGGGTTTCGACATTTTAGAAATAATTTCACACACGTGATACTACTCACAAGTGGGATAGTGTATTTTCTGTCGTGTACGGTGATATTTACAAAATCAGATAAACTCCCAATGGCATAACTTGATGAACGGAATCATCTGTTGTAATGCAAAATAAATAAGATGAACGAAGGCAGTCTTGTGGTACTAAACGTTTTGTAGTGTTCAGGCTCCCTAACTGTATTCTTATATTGATATTTCGTTTTTGAATTAAGTCGTTTGATTATTAATGATATGGAAAATAAGATATGAAAACATGTGTATACAACATTGTTGTCTTTGTCCTCTGGAAATATTGTTAATTCTAAAAGAATATTATTTGTGAAAGAAACGCTTAGTAATCTATGTAGGTCAGAATGTTTTCATCTACAGAAAGTAGATAATATCAATGACTTTAAAAGTATTGTGAAGCTTAGAAAACCTGATAAAATTTTACAAGATTGGCATAGTTCTATTTATATATCTTCTAAGTGCTTAGTGTGTCGTACACATTAAAATACTCACTCTTTTCAAAAATAACTAGATGCACTTCCATTTGACATAGCAAATATTTATGTAAATTTAGAACAATGAATCACCCATTACCAACTTAAAAAGGCAATCATTTGGTAATTGATCATAATAATACGCTCTGTTTCTTATGTCTGTATCAAGCTATTGATGATGAATTTCACTACTTATTTGAATGTTCGTACTTTAATGACATTAGACGTAAATCTCTTCTTTCGAGTTTTTATATTCGTCCTAATTTTTTTTAAACTTGACATATTATTTTCATTCCGATTCTTTTTAAACTTGACAGATTAAACAATATTTGTGATAAAAAATTCTACTAAAACTATTTTTATTTTTTGAAAACATTATTTTCAAATTTGGATAATACTTCTCATTCTCCGTTCCCTCTCCCAATGTAAAATAGTATTGCATTCAGTATTTGAAATGAACAATATGATCTCCTATTTTTGTTTATTGGGCTAGTAATAATTGTATTCTTTTACTGTGATATTAGTTGATTTCAGACTGTTAATTTCTTTTCTTCGTGATAATCATATTTCATGCCTTGGTTTATTAAAAACTTAAACTGAAACTGAGAACCAACATGAAGTTACTTAGGCGAGTATTGACCTCTAAATTACTTCTTGGTCTGAACTAAATGCTATGACTTTTTACGGTGTAATAGTGCGATTCGTTGGTTGACAAATGTATATGTGTTTAAGGACCATTTTAGAGTTTTAACAAAAAATCTTTATTATCTTTGTACTACATAACACATGAATTGAAAATTATGTCTATTCTTATATTTTCATTAGTTTCCCACAATCGAATTTTTGTTTTAAGTAAAACTATTTCAATTACTATAAGAATAATAATCTTAAACTAAAGGAAGGTCACGACAAGAAATGTAACGTGTTGTTTAACGTTATATGTACAAAAAATCAAAATGATTTATTGTTATCTTTTTACAGAAATAAAGTTCAATTTCTTCATATATTTAAACGTTATTCAAATACATCATTTAGTATCCCTATTATAAGAACAGCCAGTAGTTATTCAAGAAGTAAATATAATTCAGCTCCTCAAGTCTTTAATTGATAATACATGTTATTTGTACTTCCTCTCAATGACATATGTATTGCTCTTATATTCCTGGACTGATCTAATGTAACATTTAACTTATTATTTTACTAAACGACTTTTCTTTTCAATCAGTCTACGTTGCTCGAAAATAATGAGTGTACTTACGGAATGGCAAACTTTTGAAATCTATCCACTTTGTTCAGTGCAACGTAAGACCTGAAATATATAAAGATAATAAGCTCAAAAAATTAATAACAAAGGAGACAATATTTTCGCAATATTATATGAAACTAAAAGATCAGAAATAATATATCTTTTGGTTGGATTTTACGTCGATCCAATACAGTAGATTTAATGTGATGACTTATCAGCTTTACTGGCGGAGGAAGACCAAAGGTTCGTGCAGTATTTCAGGCACGAGCGGGTACCTGAGTTGCACCACAAACGTTCCGCAAACCATTTTGATAGATTCCTCACACAAACCACACCAAAGTTCCTTGCAGGGTTCAAACTCACAGCGGTGTGGGGCAAGTGGTTCAAAGTCAACGACCTTAACCATTCGGCCACGGACTCCTCTACTATAATACAGAGATGATCATTGGTTTGAGAAAAAGAATACAATTTAAACCCTGAAATGTCGGAAATTATTTTCAATTTTGCTTTTTTGACTTTCGTTAGGGATTCTATTTTCTCTATTTTTACTATACCTTATCATACTTAAACTAATGTACATACGTTTTGATTGTGATGTTTTGCTAAGTAGTTATGAATGTTTACGATACATGAAATAAATAAACTGAGACATCAAGGCATTCGAATTAATAAACAAAAGATAAATCCTACATATTTAAAATCAAAGCTGTGAACTATAAGGACAATAATTTAAATTGCCAGATAATGTCTTACAAGCATTTTGTTTGTTGTTTAAAAAGAAAGTGAAAGTGTTTTATACAAAAAAGCCGTGATAACTCACTGATGACCGGCTATTGTGCCGTTACCTTATAATGACATTATTGTAAAAATAATCATAATATCTTATTCTAAGATAAATGACCCACTTTATTTTATTCGCGAAAAATTCACACATAATATAATTATGAAAAGAAACTAAGGAAATACTTTAACATTTGATAGTTTATGTTTTGTCTACTATTTTCTATTTCACCTGATATGAGACGCTCTTGTTCGCTTACATGATCCTTTAAGGCTTTCAGGATTTCCTTTCTCGTGGGCATCTAATTCAATCTTAAGCTACATTTAGGTGACGACATTTACATTATCAGATAATGTAACTCTCAAAAGAGCACATTAAATTAAATTATGTGAAATTAAAACAAAGTATTTACAATTGGAATTTAAAACTGGTACAACTATTTTTAACCGAGTAAAAAACAACAACAACAACAACAACATAAAACAATCTTTTGTTGTGATTATATTTAAGAAAGGAAGCCAGTGAATTACACTGTAAGGCAACCTGTACATGTTTGTGATTAATGCTTCACTTCAAGAATACGGTCAAACTCACAGTAAAGGGGTTGTGGCCTAGTAATAAGGGTGTCGTGTCTACCTCTCAATCAAGGGAACGATGGTTCGAGCCGTGCCAAGGTCACAACTACGTCACCATATAGGACGCCAGGACTGTTGGTTCCAATTGTTTCAGGAAACGGACTCGATGGTGATTTAACTAAGCCTGAAGCTCTCTTTACAATCGAACTTAATTATAGAAAGTTTAAATCAAACATATATTACTACTTTTCAAACGTTTTAACTTAAAACATCTGTCTTAGTCTTCCAATATACTATTACTTAAAATCAATATTCATAGTTTTCTTTAATATCTGATGATATTTGTCATATAAAATGAAAACGTAGTACTTTTACATTTTGGCAGAGTCAGAAATTAAGGTAAAGTCCAAGCAATTGTGATCAAGTTAGAAAACATGTTCATGTTTATTTTTTATTTTGAATTGAATATTTTACTCAGTGTGAAACTTTTGCATCAACATCTATGACACATACTGATTTCTTTTTTTTTTTTGCTCTTACACACAAAAGAAAATACTTATTTCTTGTCCCGCAAAATTATAACTATTATAGTATTTTTATTTTACAAGTTATAGATTTCTTAAACCAGAAACGTTTTATGAATTCAGCATTGAAATAAAATGGTTTGCAGAATGTCCAAAAATATTTATAGTTTAAAGTATTTGTCAATAACAGCCTGAACAAGCAAAGATAATTGAAATGTGCTTTCGGTAGTTAACTTCTTTGGATATTTTTTTTCTGACTAAATATGAATTATCATGAATGCATTTGATCGATAGCAAGACGACATTCGTGAGGAATTATTCAATGACAAAATGGTAATGAATGAATTGTACACAAATGAGATGTAATGTTGATGTCATTGATATAAGGAGAGACGTTTTGATAAAGTTACAAACCATGCTTATAATAAAATTTTCTGAAACATTAGTCAGACTACCTAATTTCATTGTTATAATGACCGTAGTTCAGTATGTTGTCCTAGAAAGATCTTCCAAGCTCTGTAAATATATTTAAAATATATATAGTATATTTTCAGACAGCACTTTAAAAAATAACAATAGCAACAACCCCAACCACTAAATTAAAAAAAAAACAACAACCCAAAAGCAACATTAAAAACCCTTTCCAGACATCTTTGAATCATACACCACAAATATCTCAATCGGATAAAGGGAAAACTGTTTAGCATATATAGCAATACTTCTTAAAGTGTAAAATTTTAATATGGAAAAGGATATAAATCGATATTTCAAAAAGCAAATTTAGCGAGACCGTGGAATTTGTAAATAAATATATTTGACTGTCCGCATACGATTAAACACATGAAAAGGGCGCTTGAAGAACCCGCAAGAGTAAATCAAGTAAAACTTTTTTTTTCGATTTATTTCAACCATTATATATTTTAGAGTTAGAAATAACATTTGAGATTAAAGGCATTTTAATTTTTATCCAAATTATTTTTAAAACTGTAATTTCACTGAAACTATAGCTGTTGTGCATCAAACCGTAATAAACAGTTCGCGTGTAGTCTATTTTATCTTACCAGTTATTTAACTAAGGCCATTTTTAATATAAATATGATGGTTTAAGAAATACATTATTTTACTTTAACAAGAGATACTGACATTGGCTTGATTAAACATTCAATATTCTGTTTTGACTTTCCTTCTCTTTGCATGAATTACCAACTTCTGACAAAACGAAGTTGAAAATTAAAACACGCAGGTTCTTGAAAATTTATGAGGCAGTGAAATGAAACTAAATCCGGGATCAGAAAATGTGAAACTTGAACAGTCAACCTTAACTATACCAAACATTTTAAATTTAAGCTATGACAAAATACATAAAATTCTTTACATGGAAAACTTCAAAATATAATAGGGAATCACTATATGTCTTACCTTACTTGTTTACAGCAAAATCCTTAATTTTCTCCTGACTTGTATCCATGCAAATAGTTTAATCAACAAGCAAGTAAAAAAAATCTGATAAAATTTTTGCCACGAGTCCATTGATGTTTCCAGTTAATCAATAAAATCCAAAACAATAATAACTAAATAAAGGATAGTGTTACTACAAAATTCCATGTTCTATCTGTTATTACTGAATGTTGTTATCATTTACATTTCGTTCAAATAGTTAATAAAGACATTTACGATATTTTCATTATACACTTACACTAGAAGGAGCAATAAATGACGATGTTACAAAATGATATTTCCGAGAAAATGTCCGGCACTTTCATAAATCTTCATATATACAGAGTGTGGACGAGATCAATTGATATCTGAATGTCAAATGGGAAATTGGGAAAACGAAGCGATACAAAGTGATGTCGGAGAGATTCTATTATGAGTGTATTACACGTATAAGATTAGCCATTCTTTATTACATTAATAACGTACGAAATAATGAGAATATATATAAATGGCCTTGTGATTGACCTTACACATTAAACGATTTGCACAATGGTCAGTAAGTTTTATATCAAGCCTGAATGAAATAACAATTTTGGACTGAATTTGTTATATGCTAAAATATTGACAGCATCGAGTTAATTTATAAAAAAACTCGGTTATTTTCGAATTTGTCAACAAAAAATAATTTTCATATATTATCAGCCGGGGAGCAACAATTTGCCCTGTTCTTATTTTTTTCTAAACGCTTTAGTTCTTGATTCAGGCTTTAAAAAATCTGTTTGCAAATATTCTTAACAGTGATTCATTATTGAAGAAGATATTTGATTAGGAAGTCTGAACTAATATATTTCAATGATCGCCTTTGTAACTTTTGAACAGTCAATATTTACCCTATCAACTGTTTAAATATTTCATTTTAAAAACTTGTTATTGTTATATCTGATCGATTCAAAGAAGACATTTCAAGAAAGTGAACGTTTTACGCACACTAGCTCATATGAATATGAAATTGTCAATTCGGTTCCAATATAAAGATACACTTTAGCTCATGTGAATATGAAGTTGTCAATTTGGTTCCAATATACAGATATTCTGAAGAAATTATATAACATAATTTTAAACAGTTTATGTAGGTTTCTCTTACATTTCTTCCATATCAGACAGGAATATGTACTGTTTATACCGGTACTAGAAAAGCCGTCTTACACTCCCGTGTAAGACCGATCGCGTGCTTTTAATGACGTCATTCCCGCGGGAATAAGTGCTGCATGAAAATATAAGTTGTCGTATTTATTTCCGATATATAATAAATATTTTTATATGCAAGAAAAAGAATCAAACACCGGCAGAGCCTCGTTACCGCCGTAAACAGTTAACCACGAGCTATATATTCCGATCTGTGTAAGATCCCTATAATCTAACAATACATTTTGCTGGTAAAATTTGCACATCACTTTAATTTGTGTTACATTAAAGAGTAATAAAAAAGTTTGAAATGTTAATTAAATTACTTATAGTTCACGATGTTGAATCAAGAATATTTACACAGAATATCCAAAAAAGAGACAAAAGAAAACAAACTGACATTCTATAATGACCCCTTAAAGCCAAATGTTAAAGGTGGAATAAATCGCTCTGACTTGAGTTATTGTAATTATGTCCTGTATAGCAATATATACAAAGATCTAATAAACTCTCCCAATGGTATTAACTGATGAAATCGAACCATCTGTTGCAATACAAATT